ATTTTTCTGGTGAAGTATTTAAATTTCTCGTCAAAATTTCAAACCTTAAGACTCCTGGCTGATGAGCGCGACCGCGGGGGGAGCGCGTCGGCCATGGCCTCGGCGGCACCCTGGGCTCACGCCGGCTCACGCACTTGCCGCCCGATTCATAAATCTTTACGTGCGAAGTGCAATAATCCCTGCCGCCTCGCGGGGCTGCCGCCCTGGCTGCCGCCCTGGCTGCCGCTGGCGGGGCCCGGGTGGCCCAATAACACCCCGGCCGCCGCCGCAACCCCCACGCGGCCGTAAAGCGGAGACGTTATGTCACTCATTAATTGCGGAAAGCTTTCTATATCTGCAGCGGCGGGGCCGGGCGGGGCAAACACAGAGAGAAAAGAGAGAACAAGGCCAACTCGGGAAGGAACAGCAACGGGGGAGGCGGGATAATGTAACAACAACAACAACGGCAAACGCACCTGAGCTGCCTAATCGCCTCCCTGGCGGCGGGTCGGGTTGCTCGGTAGATGGAACTAATAGCGCGCCGAGCTCGGGGCTCATCCCCCGGGGCCGGCCGGCCTGGGCCTCGGACCGGGCCTGGGCGGCCATGGAGAGCGGGAGCGGACCTGCGGACCTGCGGACCTGCAGCAGCGGCGGCGGCGGCGGCCACTACACGGCCGTGCGGGGCAGCGGGCGGGCGGGCTTAGCGGTGTGCGCCCGGTGGCCCGGTGCGTGGGTGTGGGCCAGGTGCGCGCACATCCCTCCTTATCCGCTCCTGAGCCCTGCCCGGCCCTGCCGCCGCCGGGGGCCCCGGGGGCTGCCCGGCAGATAACTCACCTCTGCCCTCCTGCGCTCGGGCTCGGGCGTGGTCAGCAGAGAAGTCGGGAGAACGGGAGAACGGTGAGTAACACCCACTTGAAACCCCACCCGCCCAGCCCGGCCGTACGCGCTTGTGCAGGGGGTCGTAACCCCCAATAAATAAATTAAACAAAACGTCAGTCTACAGTTGAGTCCGTCTTTTATTTTTCTGCGACACTTCATGGTGACATTAGGGTCAAATGTATCCTCGTAGGTCACGTTTTCAAGAGTGACCTCCTTCCAAGGAGTGAACATCTCGTGTATTCCTCTGTCCCGGGGTCCTGTATTCCGTGTATTACCTTGTATTACTTTGTATTACAATGTATTACCTTGTATTATTTTGTATTGTCTTGTATTACCATATATTACTTGCGCAATATTACGCAATATTACCTTTGTATTACGTTGTAATACTTCGTAATACCTTTGTAATATATCTTGTAATACATTGTAATACCTTGTAATACCTTATAATACTTGAAATGTGTTGATATTATCTGTAATACTCGTAATTTTTGTATTATTCGTATTCCCAATATTACTTTGTAATATATTCATCTGTCTCCGGCTCAGCCGAGTTGTTCACCCCTCGCCTCCTTCTCTTGGGGAATTAATGGCTGCTTCTACGACAAACGCTGAAAATGTAATTGGAGGGCAGAGGAAAAGTGCTCAATCCCTATTCAAAATGAAGTATTTCATTGAGTACGATTTATCTCTCGTGCCCTGCCATGTGGTGGGCGGGGGCTCCGTCATAGTAAATCAGTCGAAGAAGCTTGAGTATCACACCCACTTGACTTGAAGCGCTGGTCGCGCGCACGTTTAGTGTGATCTGCGTCATAACTGTGATTTCGTGAAAATGAAGTTGTGATCTGCCTACGTCATCCCAGGCAGGGCCCGGCCCTCACAGGCGATCAGATCATCCGATGCACGGTATTTGAGTCTTGGAGGAACGTCCTTATCAAATGATTAATGAGCTGCTGACTGGTTTAGTCAGGCGTGCCGTGCGCGCCCATCCACCGGCAAAGCCAACACACGCATAATTACAGACTTCAAAGGTATTAAGGACATATGCCGTGGGGCGAGATGAGGGGGAGAGTGGGTGGGGGGTGTAGGCCTGTCCCCAGTAGCAGCTTTAAGGGATTATCCAGCCAGAAAGTACGTCCGTCTTTCGCTGTTAATAAGAACCAGCCAAGTTCGGCAGCTCTCAGAGCGCCTGATGGCTAGGCAACATCTTGCCTGCTGCGCACGCATGTACTACGGGGTGGCCTACCCCGAGTCCCGCAGGCGCCGAGTCCCCCTATTTTGTCGACTGAATATGAGCAAGACGGACGTACTTTCTGGACGATCCCCCCAAGCGTCCATCCCAAAGCGGGGCCGGACGGAGTGGGAGCGCGGCATGGACGGGGACTGGTATCCTATCATTCGCCACGCCAAGCCGAGGGGATCGCACGCAATCATGCGAGCAAATACGGGGTGGCAAACGCGGTGGCCAACGTCGACAGCTAAGCTGGCCAGTAGGCGGCAGTCGTGTGAAGGGAGAAAGAGAGAGATTCGAGAGGGGAGAATTAGGCACGGCGGCTAGAGTCTGGAGAGCGGGAGAAAGGCGTGATAAAATCTGCTGCGAAATTTGGTTGCGAAGACGTGGTGTCGACAGTAATGTAAGGGACGGTGCCCCGCTGCTGGTCCCGCTGGCGCGCTGCTGCTGCTGCTGCCGCCAGCTCGGGCTGGCCGCTCGCGGCCGCGCGGCTGGCGGGGAGGCGGGGCGCGGGGCACGGGGCGCGGAGGCGGGCGGGGCCTGCTGCGTGCTGCGGGGCCCCTCCCCACTCCGCCCAGCGAGTCAACAGGCGCGCGCATCCTCCTCCCCATCCATCCGATATGGTCTAGTGGCTAGGATACCTGGCTCTCACCCAGGAGGCTCGGGTTCGATTCCCGGTATCGGAACATTTTGTTTTCAGTCTGCTGTGGCCGCACCGTTCTCTTCACCGTATGAAAATTCGTGCGTGGGAGCGATGTCATCACCAGCCCGGCTAGCTCAGTCGGTAGAGCATGGGACTCTTAATCCCAGGGTCGTGGGTTCGAGCCCCACGTTGGGCGTCATGTTTTTCGCCTCGTGCGAATTTTAATGAGGGATCTGTGGTCTGGTGGTCTCATTTGTTTTGCGGAGTTTGATGCCGATAGCAGAGTCAAACTTTCAGCGAAAGTCCGTGATTTTATCTGCTGGATGTACACTCTGTGCCCATAGAGAGGGTGGTTTCAGGCTCTCCCCCCAGGCGCAGCCTCCGGCGCGGCGGCCGCCCGTCCGCTCGCTGCGGAGCAAAGTTACCAGCCCGCCCGATATCAATTGCAGCACGAGAAATGCAATACGCCGAAGTTGTTCCACTCCCCGTTCGACACTTGAAACCTATAAGCACGGAGTTCGTGGAGTCTCCGTATAAACCCGTAGTTCCAGGCAG